CTTTTTATGATTATTTATTTTCTAACAGTACACTTCATTCTAGCCCAGCCAGTGCGTCCATTTAGTCTAATATGATGAAATGTTGATTCTGAAGTTGAACTTTAAGCATTCTACGTAATGCTACTTGAAACATTATGGAAAAAAAGGAAGAAAAAAAAGTAGACAATTTGACCCGTGTTTTATAAAAGCAGAACAATTACAGTTATTTACCAACAAGATAACTACAAGTAGTAAAAATCAACAAAGCTACTCTTTGTCCATTTCCACAAACTGTGAATGATTCTCAGGGGATTTACTGTGAGTTTTACTCAAGTGAAGTTTGACCGCGTGATTGCTGGCAAATGTCCGACTGCAAAGCTTGCATTTGAACTTTGAGTCAGATTCCTCTTCTGTGATCTGTGAATCCGTCGGCCGGACATTGAGCGCCTTTGAAAGTTTGGGCTCTGTTACTTTAGTTGGATGTTCTATGGGTAGTTTGTTCATGTCCTTGATTTGGAAACCCAGGTGGTTCTCCAGGTGGGATATAAACGCAGAGGGCGTTCTGAATTGCGATGCACAGTCATTGCAGTAGAAGACCGGATGGCCAGTGTCCATGTTCTTCAAAAACTTGGTCCCTCCTGTTTTCCTAAGCTGGTACTTGACATTGGCGAGCCAGTGGCTGATGGTGGTCATGGAAAGCCCAGTGAACTTGGAGATGTGCATCCTCTCCTGAGGCCCGAGGTCTGAGAGGAGATACTTGCCCTCAGAAGTCTGAAAAAGGCTGGAGGTGAACTGGGCTTGAAGGATGAGCAGATGTTGGGGGTTCCAGTTGGACTGTCTGCCTTTACGCTTGTGAACCGAGTACATTTCACTGGAGACATCTTCGAATCGTCGCACGTCAGTCTCCAGCTTCATGACAGGCACTCTCGCTGGGATTGAGGGCTTTGGAGTTGTGGCTTTTGGAAGAACCTTCACCATGTCGGCAATGTCAGAGAGGGCATGTTTCTGGGGCACTGGAGTGGAGGACTGCAATAAGAGGGAAGGCTTTGTTTTGTTGTGTTTGTGTTTTGTCAAGTCTATTGGTTGGTCGTCATTTGTGTACATGAAGCTATTGCTGGGCCTGAGGGCAGCAGATGCTGAGAGTGCCGAAATTGGTTTCTCTAAACCTCTATTCAGTTCTGAAAAGAAGGATTGTGTGTGATGGGAGAGGATGCTTTCGGGCCTGGGCTTGTTTGCTTTACCCAAATGATTGTTCAAGACAGACTGTAGTGCGCTTAGAGGGTTTATGCTAAGGACTTCCTGGGAGTCTCTGACAAGCTCTGAAGAACTGCTGTGCCCATTGCTGGCAGGGGGGCTAGGTGACGGGTTCCCTCTGTCAGAGAAA